GAGTCGGATCGCCCGACGGCCGGAGGCATACCCAACCAAACCAAGGAAGAATGTCATACCCAACCAAGAAAACACGCCTTTCAATGCGAAATGAGCGAAAATTTGGTGTCCCTAAACCCGCAAAACGCAACAACATCAATTCCAACGTGCATTGAAAATCGCGTTTTCTTGGGTGGGTATGACATAAATGAAATACAACACGGTGTATTCCGCATCGCCCTCGGTCCCGGCCCTCCCGCGAGTCGGATCGGCCTTCGGCCGTCGGGCGACCGGACGCACGGTTGGGCCGATACCTCGGGCGATACGGAATACCCCGTGATGTATTCTATGTGTACATCTAATATTGTGGTGAATCCCGCTTTATCTAGTAGACATACTGGTATTTTGCATCGTGTAAACCGGGCCTTACCCATTCTCCCACGGCAGAGCTCTCCCGCGGCAAATACGTTAGCTTTGTGATATTGTGATACCGTCGCTACAAGTAAGGAAGCACCCCTGCCTCGGAGAATGGGCTTACCTACGAGATCGACGAAAAGCTATGGATTTCAGGTAACTCTGCTTTGCACATCCGGTAATGTCTACCTGAATAATAGAAATAGATGCCAGGAATCTTCCCTACCTGTTTCCGAAGGGTCGCAAGGCGGGTGGCCAACGCTGTGGATGGGCTGTTGAGTCAAACACGCGGCGACCTTCATGGCACACCGGCTCGGGTATTTTTTCCCGTTGGAGCCGCACACTGGGAGCGGTTGGGCCTCATGGGTACAAGCAACGTCAAAACAATTACACCGACCCGTCGCCCTGTCGTACACACCGCCATACTTGCACTGGGGATCTATGGAGTTAAAATATACACCATCCATTAGCACGCAGTGAAACTATCACTTCCTTACAAATGTAGGTACAGTGTAGCCTCAAATCTAATCATTCCGGATGTCTCATCAAGACCTATGCACCTACCAACGACTTTCATGACAGTCCACCAATATAAAAAGTTTCTTGAGTTAATGCGCTAAATCTGACGCTTACACGGATTGCAGATGCACTATCCGCTACACGCAGGGCTCATTGTCAAAGGATTCGAACCCAGAACTTCCCAGTTATCGCATTAACAGGGGATCAGGGGCATATTCTTTCTCCACACCTCTACGATCACCACCAAGGAAAACTAGATATGCTGCTTAATGCTGCATCGACATAAAAGCGTATGTATCATGGATGGTTTCGCCTCACCTGCGCGTCGGTCCGTTGGCTCGCTTTGGGCTTGCTCGCTGTAGTGGTGGCGATGGTCTTCAGCAGATTCTGGGGGAAGATCAAACAAACAAATGGAGAAACGTTAGGATCCAGTTCTACCAGCGAGTCAATGGACCCGGCTGAACACCTTTACCCTTTGCCTCATTAGTATTTCGACCACATTAGCACGGATAGTAAACAAGACTTTTCCTTTTTTGTGGATATTATGATGAATTCGTGGAATGTATTCGAGTTTACTAGAGTTCAACCGCTCCATTAGCTTATAAACTTACGTGAATTGCTGCTGATGGCTGGAAGGAGAAGTGTACATCCAAGCAAGATGACACCGAGAACCCTCATGGTGGTCTTCTCTCTGAAACAGAGCAAAGTTAATTGTTAATAACAATGGTTTGTGTCAGTTTAATGTGACTTATTTTAATGCCCAAGTGGCCCAAGATCTGATGAAGCTAGGTATTTTCGCCTCTGTAATTAGTCTGGGCATATTGTGCGATTTCAAACCAGAGACGATGGTACCGGTGTAAGGCCTTCACACATTCACGACCGTCTCCCGAATTTGTTCCCGAACACCAACATGCCAGTTACAATAAGGGAAACGTATACGCGTAGTTTCCGAGGCCTTTATCTTCGTATTTTGTTCCGACAACTAGCGTAAAAGATTGTAGAGTTTACAAGAAGCTGAGAATGTCATAGGGTTGTCAATCCTTTTACGCTAGTTGTCGGAACAAAATACGAAGATAAAGCCTCGGAAACTACGCGTATACGTTTGCCCTTATTGTAACTGGCATGTACCCAGTGCGCAGCGTTGTTTGGGGCATGCACAATCCATGCAAGTTAAAAATACATGTACGCAGTGCATCGGTCCCGCATCGGTACGGGTATTTTATGAGAACGAAAGTGAGCTTAGCTTTGTGCAGAATAAAACCGTCCCATCTCCATTCAAAAATGAAAGATGTCATAGCCCGCAAGTTATTGGGTTGGAAGTCCTATTGAATAAAGTCCAATGACTTTAATGGACACAAAATGCGAAAAAATCAACGTATCGCACTGTATGAATTTAGGCGCCGTTTCGCCGTGAGCTTCTTTTGTATCGATACCGCCCCTAAATCGCACAGTTGAATTTTGAATGCCGTTTTTCCACTTTCTGGTAGAAAGTTACTTTCAAACGAATAAAGACCTACTGTAAATCTTTTCAGAGGGAGGGTTGTAGATTTAATAAGTGAAGTTGGTAGGATGCATCAAGTACAGTAAAGATAACGAAAAAAATGGTTAAAAACAAGTAGATGATTCCACTCACCAAGGTAGTGCTCAGATGTTGTGTAGAAGATCGTTCGTCCGGTGTAACTGTAACTGCGTGTAACTGTAAGTGATTCGTGGCTGGTCACGGTTCCTCAAGGTTGAACTTGAAGGTAGAAATGGGCACACCTGGAGAAAGCAGCACCTTATATAGCACTGGCACCGGATGCTATTCAATTGTGGCAGAAAAAAACTCAGTGATCATACCTCCCAGAAGAAAAAAAAAACAGCGTCATGCAATACGAGCCGGACGCTAACTGGCACCGGATGCTATTCAATGGTGGCAGAAACTTTGATCATGCCTCCCAGAAGAGAAAAAAAAACAGCGTCGTCTTGAGTCATGCAATACGAACCAGATAGTACGTAACTGGCACCGGATGCTATTCAATGCCAATTGTGGCAGAAACTTTGATCATACCTCCCACGAGTCCCAGAAGAAAAAGAAAAAAAAACAGCGTCATTTATTCATGGCATGCAACAATACGGACCGCACGCTAAATGGCCCGGTTGCTATTCAATGGTGGCAGAAACTTTGATCATGCCTCCCAGAAGAAAAAAAAACAGCGTCGTCTATTCATGCAATACGAACCAGAGGCAGGGTCGCTAACCCCTGGGCTACGCACGCATCTAGTGACAAGTTGTTTTCCTCACCTTGACTTTGTTTTGATGTTTAAACGACAGGCAAACGCGCTCATGCATTGCACAAACGAGACGGTATGCTCTTCTGCCACTTGAAAGACCAGGGCTCGCCGCAAAAGATCGGTGTTCGTTGGTCAGTGACTACTTTACAATCATGGGTAACATCGTACAGCATGCACAAACGCCAAACAAAACCCCCAAACACATGATAAGCTGCCGTAATGTCCAGGTAAATCCATCACAATTTAAACGGTCAGCCAGTGGAAGGAGTTAAAAGTTAAGCATGTTCGGGTGTTGCTGTTACCAGTGATCTCTCCTGGGACGAGCATGTCAAAGGCATCACCAGTACAACCAATTATACACTTCTTGTACGTTCTTGATTTTGTCTCTTTGCGTGTATTTGGTTCTGGAACGACTCTTGAGTGCCAGAGTACCAGAGTGTTATGACGCCTACATCGACGTACATGTAGTACCTAATAAGTAGGGAGACTTAGTTTTCCGTCAGTCTGCTTTTTTTGCTACGCCTACGCAGCTACGGTTTAGCAGAGTCAGTCAAGTAACGCTTTCAGAGTACCCATTAGGCAAAGTAAAGAAGAACTTCGCCTTTCAAAGCCGAAGTTTGCACTATAGTTAACCAAACCTTCCTTCGGCAAACTCTGCTATGGTAAAGTAAACGGAGCATTTTGAAGGTAGAAAACACCTTTGCACTGATCACCACTCAAACACACGTACATTTAGCTGACCATTTTATCAGGTGTGTACGCTCATACTATCCAGTATAATTCATGTATCTACCCTTGTTGTTTCTTCTTTGCCATACAGTGTACTACCAGTTACAGTTGTTGAGCAATAAAGTTTATTAGGTTGGTTTACTATCCAATCCAATGCGTGTCTTGCTGTTACATTGGCAGGTCCCACACTGGACTTTTGAGGAGCTTCGTACTTTATTGTGTTGCCTCCAGGACTCCTAGCACCAGGGTGAGGTTACTGGGTCGGACCACTCTACTTCTAAGATGGGGGGGGGGTTGTGTGGTTGTACACAAACGGTTCACAGTGGGTTCATAACACGTACAAGCGCCAGTTTTCTGCCGGAACGTAGAAAGGTAGACCGCCAGAAGAGAGGTCGGCCAAAGAACCCCTGGCGAAGAACCTTTCAGAGGGCCAACATCACCTGGGAAGAGGCTGAGGAGGCAGCAGCTACTCGACCCAGATGGAAACTCGCTGCCCAATGTGCCTGTAGACACAGGAGGACCTAAGGTCTAAGGAATGCTAGACTGAATAAGATGAAGTGACTCTATATCTCGTAGGTCTGTTGATGTAAAACATATATACAAGAAAAATGAGTCAACTCGAGGAGTTCCACTTACAACCCATTACTCTTTTCAGAAGTTTGTCTTCATCGGCGTACAAGATAAGACAACACCGATCTCATGGCAACAGAATGTCACGGTATAAACGAAAAATTAAGAATTCATATCAAAAATATACAGAAATAGTGTCTTTTATACCATATTTTTCGTTTCCAAAAGCTGGCCGGCCTGGGCCCCGTGTGGGAATTGTGACCTCAGCATAAAGAACAAAATACGTACGGTGTAGCAAGCCTATTCCTGTTGAGATTGTGGAGTCGCCAGTTCTTTTGCGGATTGACAGAACAAAATGCGTTGGTTGTTGAGATTATGATGTCTCCATCAAGTCTTAGGCGGATCGAAAAACATGCTGTGCCGTGTGCTGAACTTGCCTGCTTTGTTTCTTGACATTGTAGAGTTACCAGTTCTTTTGCGGGTCGACAGAACAATTTGGATGTGATTTCGAGAATCGGCAGGACAAAAAAGGCGCCATGCACCCAATCCTGCTTCGGTTGTAAAGATTATGAACTCGTCAGTTTTTTTTTTGTTTTGTTTTGTTATCGGCGGAAGAAAATACGGTGCCTTGCGCTCAATCCTGCGTGGGTTGGAACACATTTTTGAGTCCTCTATTCTTTTACTCAGTCCTGTGGCGTTGGTTGTTCAGATTGTGGACTGGTTTACTTAGTTCTTTGCGGGTCGGCAGAACAAAGTATTGCGACGAGTGGTCAACCACGCGTTGGTTGTTGGATTTAGATTGAGGAGTCGTCATTTTTTCAGATCGGCAAAACAAAATATGTCGCCATGCGCTCCTAGCCCGAGCCCTGCGTTGGTTTTTGAGATCGTGGAGTCGCCAGGTTTTTTTTTTCGGATCCACAGATCAAAACAGACGGCGGTGTTCTCGATTTTGGGTTTTTGAATTCTTTTTTACGGGTCGGTAGAACAAAATACGACGCAGCGCGGCCAATCCTGCTTCGGTCGTTATTTATTCAGCATACAATAAACGAAATAAGGATACACGATAAAGTGACGACCGGCTCAAGTTAGGTAACTTATGTTGGCGCCGCCGCTTATACCAATAAAACTAATATTACTAAACAATGCAAAACACTAACCAAGAATACATGTAAAAAAAGAACAAACAGTCGAATTGATGAAGCGACTGTTTGTTCTTTTTTTTTACATGTACCGCTACGGGGGAGTCTAGCCCAGGGGGAGTTTGGCTGGCCCTACAAACGGACAACCCCCTCGGGCTCAACTTAAATAGGCGGGCGAAAGGCTCTCGGCTGCCGAAGAAAAAGGGCTAACGGCCCGATACTAGTTTTGCATCCAGGGTACCGTTACCGGTAATTACGGAGGTTACAGCACGAACGTTTTTGTTGTTGTTTTTCTCATAAAAATCTACAGATTTTAGCTTCATCTTTTAGGAGCAAGGTAGCATACGTACGGGCATTTAAAAACTGGTCAACTTTTTTTATATACCAGGTGAAGTAAATAACACCGAAAGTAATAAACAACGGTAACGGAGGTTACAGTCATTACTGTAACACATTTTGTTCATCGAAGGTGGCTAAAAACGACAGCACACACTCCTTTCCTCTTGTAAGAGCAAAAAGTTATGAAATGGCAATTCCCTGTCTTATATGTGACTCTAGCTAAACTTCCCCACTGTCTTACTTGAGCGCGGTAACGGAGGTTACAGAACTTGGCGACGTACAAGAATAGTGACGGGAGCGATCTGACTTGATCCTTCAGAGGACCTGGCATGTACTTAGTACCCAGTGCGGCTCAATACGCAGCGTAGTTTGTGGCATGCACAAATCTAGGCTGTTACGTATATCATAATTTAAAAATGCATCCGTACGGGTATTTTATGAGAAAGAAATTGAGCTTAGCTCTGTGCAGAATAAAACCCTCCCATCTCCATAAAATATAACTCGTTGCTGTTGTCACTGTTAGAAGCACAGTTTTCATGTTTCAAAAATGAAAGATGTCATAGCCCGCAAGTTATTGGGTTGGAAGTCCTATTGAAGTCCAATGACTTTAATGGATACAAAATGAAAAAATAGAAAAATCAACGTATCCCACTGTGTGAATTTAGGCACCGTTTCGCCGTGAGCTTCTTTTGTATCGATACCGCCCCTAGATCGCACAGTTGAATTTTGAATGCCGTTTTCCACTTTCTGGTAGAAAGTACTTTCAAACGAATAAAGACCTACTGTAAATCTTTTCAGAGGGAGGGTTGTAGATTTAATAAGTGAAGTTGGTAGGACGCATCAAGTACAGTAAAGATAACGTAAAAAATGGTTAAAAACAAGTAGATGATTCCACTCACCAAGGTAGTGCTCAGATGTTGTGTAGAAGATCGTTCGTGCGGTGTTTGCGTGTAACTGTAAGTGATTCGTGGCTGGTCGTTCCTCAAGGTTGAACTTGAAGGTAGAAATGGGCACACCTGGAGAAAGCGGCCCCTTATATAGCACTGGCACCGGATGCTATTCAATGCCAATGGTGGCAGAAACTTTGATCATGCCTCCCAGAAGAGAAAAAACAGCGTCATTTATTCATGGCATGCAACAATACGGACCGCACGCTAAATGGCCCGGTTGCTATTCAATGGTGGCAGAAACTTTGATCATGCCTCCCAGAAGAAAAAAAATAGCGTCGTCTATTCATGCAATATGAACCAGAGGCAGGGTCGCTAACCCCTGGGCTACGCACGCATCTAGTGACAAGTTGTTTTTCTCACCTTGACTTTGTTTTGATGTTTAAACGACAGGCAAACGCGCTCATGCATTGCACAAACGAGACGGTATGCTCTTCTGCCACTTGAAAGACCAGGGCTCGCCGCAAAAGATCGGTGTTCGTTGGTCAGTGACTACTTTACAATCATGGGTAACATCGTACAGCATGCACAAACGCCAAACAAAACCCCCAAACACATGATAAGCTGCCGTAATGTCCAGGTAAATCCATCACAATTTAAACGGTCAGCCAGTGGAAGGAGTTAAAAGTTAAGCATGTTCGGGTGTTGCTGTTACCAGTGATCTCTCCTGGGACGAGCATGTCAAAGGCATCATGTGTACACATCATGTATACACTACTAGCACCGTGCTGCTAGTACGTTCTTGATTTTGTCTCTTTGCGTGTATTTGGTTCTGGAACGACTCTTGTACATAACCAGAGTGCCACGACGCCTACATCGACGTACATGTAGTACCTAATAAGTAGGGAGACTTAGTTTTCCGTCAGTCTGCTTTTTTTGCTACGCCTACGCAGCTACGGTTTAGCAGAGTCAGTCAAGTAACGCTTTCAGAGTACCCATTAGGCAAAGTAAAGAAGAACTTCGCCTTTCAAAGCCGAAGTTTGCACTATAGTTAACCAAACCTTCCTTCGGCAAACTCTGCTATGGTAAAGTAAACGGAGCATTTTGAAGGTAGAAAACACCTTTGCACTGATCACCACTCAAATACACGTACATTTAGCTGACCATTTTATCAGGTGTGTACGCTCATACATATAGAATACAACACGGGGTATTCCGTATCGCCCGAGGTACCGTGAGCCCGACCGCGGGTCGGATCGCCCGACAGCCGCAGGCCGGAGGGAGATCCGACCCGCGGGAGGGCTGGGACCGAGGGTGATGCGGAATACCCCGTGTTGTATTTTATTTATGTCATACCCACCCAAGAAAACACGCCTTTCGATGCGAAATTAGCGAAAATTTGGTGTCCCTAAACCTAAACAATGCAACAACATCAATTCCAACGTCCGAATTTTGTGTTCGAATTTTCGAAAGCGGTGCAAGCGGTTTGGGCGAAACGCGTTCTAATCGTTCTATGGAACATTTGGAAGCCCCGGGCCGTACGCGTTAAGAACCCCCGGGCCGTACCGCTAGTTATCACACGGGCCGGAACACCCGTATCGAACGTAATCGCGGCCCAGGTAGGACATAATATCCAGTATAGTTCATGTATCTACCCTTGTTGTTTCTTCTTTGCCATACAGTGTACTACCAGTTACAGTTGTTGAGCAATAAAGTTTATTAGGTTGGTTTACTATCCAATCCAATGCGTGTCTTGCTGTTACATTGGCAGGTCCCACACTGGACTTTTGAGGAGCTTCGTACTTTATTGTGTTGCCTCCAGGACTCCTAGCACCAGG